TTTGTGTATTTCATGTGTCAAAATTAAATGCCATAAATGTCAAAATAAGATGAGGTAAAAACAAAGGTCTTCAGTATGAATTATTTGAATAAATGGTGTGAGAAAAAAATGATCATGATCATGCATTATTAAATTTAATGGAAACATAACAAAATAATTATTATTTATAGGTCTTGCAACAAGTAAATATTATTATTTTAACATAACATTTAAGATACTATGTATTCTGAAATTTGTGAACAAGAAAAGAGTACATCAGAAAACAAAATCATATGGTTGTAACAAGTGGTAAAAACCTACTCTTACCTGAATGGTTAAATCGTGATCAACTGACTGAAGGATGAAATCGGAAACCTACAACTGACAGTTACGTATTTAGTATCATGACATAGCGTCTGTTGAGTTATTACAAAGGGTCCCACCACTGAGTATTCTTTAAACAAACATCATTGTAAATATTTAAGAGCCTTTATCCCTGTTCATGTTTTTTGTTTTTATTCTCTACTTTTCTTTCCTGCCAAGCCAAGGTACATGATTTTTTTTTTTAGACATTGCAATTGAAACATTCAGGTAATGGGGTGGATCCAATGGGGGAATGTGCTCCCAGGGAGATGTAAAAAATATTTTTTTACATCTTCCTGGTGCGCCCTTCCACATTTTGCAACTACATTTTTAAATGATGATACATACCAATGCTATGTATTGAAATAAGAAAAAAATAGAATACAAATGCATGCCCCCCCCCCCATTTAAAAAAAATTGGATCCATTAGTAAGAATAAGTTTTTTCACTTGCTTCAACTATGGAGGTATTGTTATGGTTCAACAAAAATGAAACCTTTCATTAAAAATTTTTTTAAATGTCTTTTTTAAATTGCATTTAACACTTTGATGTACTGTATGTATGATTATTGTGAAGATTTTGCTCTATATTAAAACATTTTATACATCATACATTTTAATTGTGAAAATGCCACTTTCATGTGCATGAAATCATGTTTCTTCAATCATTCAAATTATGATATATTGAAAATGATTTAACATTACTTGTATACTGTATTTTGATTTTCCACTATATAAAATAAATTTTTTAAACTGTAATGATAGTTCTTGTATTCTTTTTGTTGGTGCTTTTAAGATTGCTCAATCACCTCACCTATAGAAATGCTCATCACTTCATGACAACACTTCAATAAAGTACACTTTCTTTTAAATAAGAACACATTTTATAAGAGCAATGAGGCTGAAATTGCTTAAAAATTAAGAACAAAATAAGTACAAATTGAGGCAGAGTTAAAATGTTGAATTAGGTTTTTATTTTTTTTAAATAGAAAAACCAACAACTATAATCTGTTACCTTATTTGCAGTAAGTTTTACTATGTAATACCCTCTATAATACAGTGCAGTAATATACTGCTACAACAATAATACTTTTATATGTTTGAAAAGTATGTAAAAATAAGAACAAAATAAGAACATTTTGAGCCTGAAATCGGCAAAAAAATAAGAACACTGAGCATATAGGCAAATTTTTAATAGTTCTTATTTTTTTTTAAAGGGTGTACATAACACCCTCACCTAAGTCAACTTGTCAGAAAGTTCTCATATAAAAAAGGCAACACCCAACATCCTCCTGCCAAGTATTGGTAAATAAGCTCCCAGTGGGAGTGCGTGTCTATGCCCTATACAGTACTGCTTTACTGTATTATGTTTACTAATAAAGTATTGACATGAGATTTTTGTGGCATTGTATTTTTTTAATAAATTTTGTACAGTGATAAGATCACACCATGACCCATCATGCACCTCCGCCAGATTTACCCTTTTCGCCATCTATAACTTGCAAATCATAACATAGTTTCTCTGCCCCCGAGGGGGGAAAGACAAGAACGTTTCGTCGGATCATCTTAGCAGGCTTAAAAATTTTTTCTTGTTTACAATCCAGAATTACATAATAAGGTAACAAAAACAATTATGTTGAACAAAACAATTAGACGCGTTGAAGACATTTTCTCGCACTGCACACTTCACTTGTTCTTAAACTCTCTTCACATGACCTCAATAAAGTTTCCTTCAACAGATATACGATCAACCCAAATTTTAATCGTTATATCACTAACCCACTGGTCATTGAGCTCTATGAACGATACATCAAGTTTATGTTGTGTTGTAATGTTACTCAGGAAAATATAATAGAGCTGCGATGATGCCCTCCTATTGGTCAAAACTTAAATTTATAGGTCCAATAAAAAAAAAATTTTTTTTCATAAGGAATTAGTAAATATTGTTTGTATATCTTAATCATGTATTTTTCTTTGAATATCAATGCACCAGTAAACAAACCAAGGGTCGATATTTGGCTTTAGCAAAATTTTAAACAAATAAAAACCTCCCTCCCTCGTCGCCTTTACAGTTTAGATAGGGTGATAAACTGATACTTTTTATAGGGCCTTAATGAAACGCCAAATCCCACCCTTTGGAAAGTTAAAAAAATTTAAAAAAAGACCCTCACCAAATTTTTACTAGTTTTTTTGTTTTTTTTAAAGGGTGTACTTAACACCTTCATCTAAGTCAACTTGTCAAAAAGTTCTCATAAAAAAGGCAACACGCAACATCCTCCAATTGGGAGGAGGGGGTCATTTAAAGGGCCTCTCAGACCTAAATATCTCAAAAACTGATTAATTGATCTGATTGAGACTCATTAAAATGGTTTGTCGTGGGTCAAGGAAGAAATTATCAAATTCTAGTGATGATATCCGGAGTAGGGTGTGGATATGAAGACCATTTAAAGGGAAACGTCCCAGACCAGATATCTCAAAATTATCAGCTAACCTGATTCAAACTTTCTGGAAGAGTTAACCGAGTTACAAATAAGAAATAATTAAATTTTAGTGACGATCCAGGTTTGGGTGTGAATTTGGGGGACACTTAAAGTGCGAATGTCCAAGATCATATCTAAATATCACAAACGCTAACAATAGATCTAAACAAAACTCTCTAGAATGGTTTGATGGTCCAAGGAAGAAATAATTAAATTTTGGTGACGATCTGGAGTAGGGTTGTGAATATGAGGACCGTTTAAGTGCATCTGAAAACCTCTCAGGAAGGGTTCGTCATAGCCAAGGACAAAAGTATGCAATTTTGGTGACGTTCCGGAGTAGATGTGGGGATTCTTAAATCGAGCATCCCATCCCAGCATATAAAAAAAAACTGATCAATGAATCTGAAGAAAACATTTTATAATGGTTTGTCATGGTTTATTGAAGATTCTCAATTATTACCGTATTGGTATAACTAATAATGCATTCGTGATGTTGGTTATGGCGTTCTTTTTGTCTATAAGACCTAGCCACACGGTCCCAAGTTCGAATCCCGGTGGACGTCGAGATTTTGTTATCATACTTAATTTTCTTTTCTTCAAAGGGAAAAGATGCGTGGGAATTTTTGACAGGGAAGACTTATGATGAGGGTGAAGGTATACACTCTCGGAAAGTGCTCTAGTTATATATATTATGTTTCTAGTGCTATCCTATAGGTTTTTTTTCTTCTTAATTTTATTGACTGTTTTAATGAGCGTATAGATAATACCAAAAATATGACTATCAGATTGAGGTAAGCTGAAAAGGCCTACACGTTGCTGAGCATGAGGATTTTGTGATTCGTGCTAGTTTTTTACTCAATGTAGTTGTCTAGGTGCAAACAAATAATGTTCTCTACAATTTATGGAATTTTAATTTAGGTCAATATTATCTGCTATCATTTACTGTATATTGAAATCTCCCTGAAGTACAAAGAAATGCAACATTCTTACGCATTTCTATTGTAAGAATAGGCTAGTATAGGAGGTTTCAGCTTTTGTGGAGGGTGTTGGAGAGAAGTAAATATCTACCATATTCATTGGAGCACAGTGATATAGAATAGAGATATCATCTGTATTTTAATGTTTGTTTATATTTTGATACACTGTGCTCTATCCAGTGGTATGGACCCACTTGGCACTGCTGGTGCACAGTGATATAGAATATGGATATTCCCTCTCCCCCTGATGATGACATAATTAATGCCGAAATATTGAATCCCGACACGATGGCGTGCATTTCGATACTTAGAGTATGTTTTGTACTATCTTGAATATGGATATCTGTTTGTAATTTAATATACTGTGCTCCAGATAGAATCCAATTTGGAAGCTATGTAATCATGTAATTTTGCGACACTCGTTTAATCACTTCTTCACATTTGTTTGAAATGTTATCAATTTCAATATAATTGATAAACATTTTAAACGGATCACAAATTTAATAATATTGATACAAAATATACACAAATGTATAGGCCTATATGGAATGAATGTGTAAAACCTGTGTGTGTTATGCATATTCTGAACACAAACTTTTAAAAAAATGGTCATAGATCTGAGTTACAATAAAATTATGTATTTTGTATTAATCTTCTGTATATTAATAGGCCTAATCGTTCTGTATTATATAAGAATCGTAGCGGATTCAAGAGGGGCCAGCAGGCCAACCCTTCCCCTATTTTTTTTTTAATTATAAAAAAATGTAGAAAAAAATGATAATTATAATAATTAAAATATAAGTATGAGAGTACAATTTCCAGTCATAAATTTGGTTCCATACTCATAAATTTTGACCATTAACCCTCCCCCTCCCCCAACCAGCTCTCCCTCCATGGACTCCCATCTATATCGGATTCCTGCATCCGCCACTGTAATTTATTAAACTTATACACTGACTAGATTAGATCTATGCAAATTACAGAAATCATAAAAATAAAAAAACCCTTTTTTATTAAAGGGGTTCTATATGGCATTCTTCCAGTTTAATTATAATAAGCAAAATAAATTCATTATAAGATTGTTATATACTGTATAATGTATAACATTCAACGCGTACGACGCGTTTGTTTTTGTTGAGCTCTATTTCGGAACGCAATTGTTGACAACTGCACCCCATAGCTCAACTCGTGTCATGCGGCAAATTCCTGCTGTAGAAGAAGAAAGTTGTAGTTAAGGCTAAAAATTCCTGAAAATGGCAGAAAAGAAGTCTTTCAATCGTCTAGCACTTGACCTTGTTCCACAAAATTATTATCTTGAACTTCAACCAGATCTAGAAGCCTTTACCTTCAAAGGGAAAGAAGTTATAACTGTTAACGTGAGTTTTAAATGTTAGGCCTAGGCATAGGCCTAGCTAGCGAGCGAGCGGCCTAGCCTAGACCTGTAGTGTAGGCCTAGCTTTACCTTGGCTTGGGCCTAGGGCCCTAGCTAGAACTAAATAAAGCCTGGAAAGGTAGGCCTAGGCTACTAGTGGCCGATAATGGCTGTCTACTAGACCGTCCTGGCCTAGATCATTTTTCCCATATGTCAACAAGGCAGACAAATTAAATTATTGTATGAGAAAGAATGCTTTCGTTTTTCTTTTAAATGAAAATTAAGCAGGCCTCGTAGGCTAGCGCCCCCTCCCCTAGGCTAGGCCTAACAGTTTGATGAATGATTGGTAGGTAAAATAGATCAAGAGGGGAACCAGTCAATTCGAGCGGATGACACTTAGAGCGAAGAGCGGATTCGAGCAGAATTTACTTTGAGCGGATGCTAGTTTAAGCGGGAATAGATCCACTTGTGTGAACAAAAGACCGTGCCAATTATGTACGAATTACTTTAAAATGTCCTATTTTAAGCTAACAATTTGCATTTGGCCGAGGCTCAAGCCCCCTGTGCCCCTACTGGATTCGCCCCTGTGTCACACTACTACACCAATGATTTGTGCACCTTCTGACACCTAGATACGTAAAAATAATGTAAATTTCTATGGTGAATAACAATTACAATTGTAGGAAGTTACTCCCATTTACAAATATAGGCCTAAAATTTAATTACAAATATAATTTGTAATAAGAGTATGTTTTGTATAAATATTTAATGTAAAAAAATAATTTGCTTTTTTAAATACAAAACCCCAACTGGAGAGAAAACCATACATTGACAACATGCGCAATTCTTTAGTTTTAAAATATAAGTGCTTATTAGCAGCCATCTGGTAGTCAGATTTGCCAAGACTGTATTGAAATATGGAATAATTTAAATAAAAAAGTTCCAAAAACATTTCAGAACTTTAGTGCACCAAGCTTTTTTATAACAAATACAAGAATAGGGCGATGATAAATTCGCCCTTGTTATAGTTTGAAGTAAATGCATCCGCTCGAACTGGCATCCGCTTGAACATTCATCAAGAGGATACGGTATCAGTTGGCCTAGCCAGACGCCCTAGTTAGGCCTCTGACTTACTAGGACTTCAGTAGGCCTAACCTTGCAAGAATTTTGCAAATCATGGAATTGTTTGAAACAATCTTTTGCGTACACCATATATGTATTTCTCTGAAAACTCAAATAAATGTAATTTTTTTCTTTCCTTAAAAAAAAAAAAAAAAAAAAACAGGTAAAAAAGGAGACTTCTGAGGTAACTTTGAATTGTGTTGATATTAAAATTTCCAGTGTTGTGTCCATAGCAGGTGGAAATGGTGAGACATTATTTTTGTTATTTTAATTGTCTATACTATTGATGAAAAAATATAATATTAAATTATTAATTTTAATTCTTCTGGATTTCGTGCAAAATTCATATTAGGGAGTTTTCAGTTATGACTATGCACAGAGTGGGTATGGGGTCACCCATTGTATCACACACTTATATATATTAGGGCACGTAGAAAAAATTACTAGATTTGGAAGTAAGTAACAATAATGGCAGCCCAAGAACATCATGATATATTTTTTTGGTATTTGGTAGCCAGATGTCATACTGGGAATTTTTTATAATGCTTTTCTCAATTAAAATTTTATCTTTTTTTTAAATCATTGATTCTTTATTATTGATAAGATATTGCAATAAGTGAAATTTCTTACTGCAAGGAAGAGGAGACGGTCACTTTGAAGTTTGTAAGCCCATTGCCACTTGGGTCTGCAGAAATCCATCTGGAGTATGTGGGAGAATTAAATGACAAGATGAAAGGCTTCTATAGGAGCAAGTATGAAGTCGATGGGAAAGATAGATACTGTGCTGTCACCCAATTTGAGGTACTGTACTTTTATTTTGGAAATTTCTTTATCCAGACTCAAATTTTATTTGACAAAAACATGCGACATGGCTAAATATAGTCATGATGACATCACATCATGACCATATATAGGCATATGAATACTATATATTGTCAAAGAAAACTTTATAGTGTAGATAGAGGCATAGAAACAAATAATTTATTATCTTAAATTGAAAAAAGTATTTTTAGGAAAAAGCAATTCATATGTGGCAAAGACAGGTCAAACCAGTCACTTGTCGCAAATCCTGTTTCAGAGATAATGGCCAAAACATGCTTGAATGTCAGAATTTTAAAAATCTATTTTATTGCCCTAAACTAATCTTTATATATCTATACATCATGCTATGCTGTTATTTTCCTCACTTCCAATGTTAAAATAAAATTTTTCAACAATTTTTGTGATGGTTTCTGCCTAAGAAATGCCTAAAATTAACATTGAAGACTGATTTCTCAAATATTGTTCTTTAAACAGCTTTATGTTTAAACTCCGTAACTTCATAACGAAATGTTGGATTTAATTGATTCTTTTACCGTTTTATAGCTCTCATTTTGCTTGTTAACACTGTATTAATAACTAAAAATCGATTTTTGCGACGAGTGACTAGTTTGTTTGTTTTTGCCACATCATTGTGTACTATAATTACGGTTGTATTTCTTTGTGCCTCCTGTGACGATATTACTATATTGGCTTATATTCAGATAATAAAAACAAAAATTCATGGAAAATGGATATAAGTGAAAACATAATTAATTTATATTACTATTTATTTATTGGTTTCCTGCTCTCTTTTGTCTTACTTTACTGTATGTATTAGCTTCATAAAGCAATAAACATAAAATAGGGATGAAAAACCGTAAACAAATAGAGCATCAAAAAACAGTCAAAAATGTGAGTCTTTCTTTCAAACCAGAAAGCAAACATAACCCAACTGCAATATTTCCAACAACTTCTAGAGCTTTAAGGAAATTATGCTCTTTGAATTTGTACAATTCTGAAACCTGCATTTCCTGTCTGACACAGGGACTATACAACCTTGTATGCTATCTGTGTACTATTGTAGCATGATAGACATTGACATTTCGTTACATTTTTTTCTTACAGGCAACTGATGCACGTCGGGCATTCATATGTTGGGATGAGCCTGCAGTTAAGGCAACTTTTGATATCAAGCTTGTGGTACCAAAGAGTAAAGTAGCTTTGTCCAACATGGTAAGTCAACATTATATGTTGTATGCAAGGTTTGTTAAAACCTTTGAATGTTGTGAGAATAGTTCCCCAGGAATATCAATTTGTGTTTTAAACATAGAGTGCAAAGGTAAGTACTCGACGAAGAAATAACCATTATTTTATGGCCTATGCTAGGCCCTTCATGTTTTTATTGTCAGATTTTCCAATGTAACAAACATAAAGGTTATGCATTATTAAAAGTTTTGGTACTGTACCAACTCAAGCTCAACTTGAAAAATGTTTGATAGTTTTGAAAATAATTCTTACGAGTTAGCCCATAATAAATATTAGGTTCACACTACAAAGGATTCATTTCTGGTGCTGTTGCAGGAATAAAATCTAACGCTACTTTAAGCATCGGAAGCGGATCCACTAATTCAAAATAGAAGGGGCCCGGGGAGGTACTTTCACAGATGGAGATTCTTTGTGATTATGCACCTCTAGATGCACTCTTAAACTTAAAATGAATATAATTTTCTTTATATCTCCATTTAAAAAAAAAGTTGAACAATTTAGGGGGGTAGGGCCCTGGGCTGGCTCCCCCCCCCCCTACCCTTGTATCCGCCACTAAATATTATTTTTATGTAACATTGTAAAGGAATTTATTTTTAAAACACCTGCAAGATAATGCTCTGAAAAGAATACAGAATATTAATAGCATAATTACTGAAAATGGTGATTTTGAGACACATCTTCAATTTATAATTTCTCAGTTTACATACACCCTGTCTGATTGCAATTTCCAGCACTTATTATTCATAGAATTTTGCTGTATAAAAACATCTGTTGTGTACCCTTATTTCCCACATCTTTTTGCAACCAAAAAATAAATTTACTACTGGTGATTTAATGTCTTTCTGAATACCATTCAGCTACTGATTTATCCATAATATGATATTTTTTTTCTTGTAGAATATCACTGAGGAAAATCCACATTCCACTGATGGTACTTTAAAGGAGGTGACATTTGCTCGGACACCAATAATGTCCACATACCTACTGGCTTTTATAGTCGGTGACTTTGACTATGTAGAGGACACTTCATCAGATGGTGTGCTTGTACGAGTTTATACGCCTATAAACAAGAAAGAACAAGGAGACTTTGCTTTACATGTGAGTAATAATATTATTAGAAATTTAACAAAAAAATCTAAATAACCTAATCATTTTTTTTTTCTATCTAGGTGTTCTTGTATCTGAAATGAAAATATTTGAAAATTATTTCTCAGCTAAATTGAATGCTGCTAAGTGTTGGATCATGGTATCTGTAACACTAACATGCTTAGTTATCCTTGTTTCGAAGGGAGTATTCAGTGAACTGCATGGAATAAATATAAAACCTTGACATCTAACTATAAGCACAGGACATATAATTATAGAAAAAAACAAAACAGTTTAGTATTAGGCAAGCAGCTTAAACCCCAATGGATCTCAGATCTTTTCATTGAAAGCAAAGCTGTTCCCCGGTATCAAAGGTATAAACTTGGTATTGGAAGACTAATGTCGGGCACTCACAGCGATGGTTGTATGACTGTTGTGCCATGAATCCTGTGAGTGCTGGGCGACACAACGCCGTCTACTGATTGTCGGTGGCAGTCTGAACGTGTCGCCATTAAAAATTGCGCGCGTCGCTGCGCTCTCAATCGAATCATGTTGCGCGCATTGAGTGTCTGGCTTTAAAATGCATGCCTCCATTACTGACCATGGCTTGAGAATAATGTGGATTCAATATTCATTAATGTATTAACATTGCTTCTGTAACATTCTGCTTCTTACAGGTTGCAGTTAAAACACTTCCTTTCTACAAGGACTATTTTGGAATTGCTTATCCACTTCCCAAAATGGACTTGATTGCCATACCAGACTTTGCCGCGGGTGCCATGGAAAACTGGGGGCTTGTTACCTACCGGTAAGCAATAGTGCACAAACTATTTAACATATCCCTGTTGTTATGTCTACAAATGAGGAGTTTAATAAAAATTGAACCATTTATCAATTTTTTAATGTTTTCATTCCTAGTTTTGTTATTTGTGGTATTCCACATACCACATCAGAAGATTTATTTACTCTGTTAAAGGAAGTACTAATTGTTTATATAAATTTTTAAAAACAAATGATGAGGTGGTTTGTTTTAATTCTCTTCAGTGCATAAGTTAGATGGTATTTTTTTAATATAATAATAAATATAAATGTCCAGTAATCTTTGACACTTTAGCACCAAATCAGTTGTTTGAGGCTCACAACCTTGATTCAATAATTTATCTATTTTGTTCTTTTTTCAGGGAAACTGCTTTACTAGTTGACCCAAAAAATTCTTCCTCGTCTGCCAAGCAGTGGGTTGCCCTAGTCGTTGGTAATCAAGCACATTTATATTCCATTAGTTTGTAAACTCAGTAATTTTTATTATCATGGAAGTAGGGAATATGCACTAGTCATAAAATTCTGTTGTAAATTCTTGTGTAAGGCAGATATTATGACCAAAGTTTGATGTTGGTTTGACTCGATAACTGATCTAAACCCACTTTAGGCAGGCCCAACTGTGATAAGTTAACTTAGTTATGAAATTGTTTATAAAATTATGTAAATAATTCAAGATCAATTTGGTAGTTTTTGTTTAAATTATAATTTTTTTTTAAATGTTTGTTTAACCTGCAGGACATGAAATTGCTCATCAGTGGTTTGGGAATCTTGTAACTATGGTAACTAGAATTAATTTACTAGTAATTATATTTTATAAACATCTGTTGAAGTTGACAGTTTACTGAAAAATATGTTTACTGTATGTCAACTTGTATCTCACATTACGTAGTATAATTGATTTGATTACTAATCAGGGTTATTCAGTTTACTAAAGCATATTACCGCACACAGACACCAACATGGTATTTTATGGTCCAATTATAAAGATATGTATTTTTATCAATGAGGCAATAATGCTTTTAAGAATACAAATAATGAATGTTTAGAGTGCAATGGCAAGAATACTGTATTTTCATGAGTTGAAAGATTTTCAACAATGAAAATATTCTTCCCAATGCACGAATACAAAACATTCATTATTTGTTTTATAACATGCCTAAAAATAAGTCCTTGTCATTTGATGTTTTATAAAAAATAGAGTCAAGCTTACCTTTCTTTCAATCAGTAGATTTTTCAACACAAACAACTTGCAACAATTTGGTAATTATCAAAAAGTCAACTTATTAACCAGTTCAGTTCCAATTTTGCTGCAGTATTTGATATTTTATGGAAAAAAAAAGTTAGGTCTACCTTTCTTCAGAATAAAACTGTCCCTCTTCTTTCAACTAATGAAAACATATTTGTTGGAGGCGTGTAATGGAACAAGCCTAATGGAACAAGCCGAATGGAACAAAAAATAAATTATGATGGATGAAATGTAAATAACCAGTGTCACATGATATGCAATTCACCAGTCAAATGACGATGACCTATTTAGGTGTGTTTTGATAATTAATATATTCACATTTTTCTATTAAGTATATAGTATATCCAATAGTGTATTTTGCGTACACGTGAGAATAGTGGATTCATCTTATTTAATTACGTGTATTGGACACATCTAATCATATACATTTTATATGCTTTATAAGTCGTTTAATTTTTATGTAGGAATGGTGGACACATCTTTGGCTGAATGAAGGCTTTGCTTCATGGATTGAGTACCTGTGTGTGGACCACTGCTTTCCTGAGTACGACATCTGGACTCAGTTTGTCACATCTGATTATACAAGGGCTTTAAATTTAGATGCTCTTAAGAATAGCCACCCCATTGAAGTAAGTTACATTTTGAAGAGTTGTGATTGAGTGGAACTGTAGCTTGGTGGTGATAGTGCTTTCCTTCTAATCATGGGGTCTTTAGTTCAATTTCTGTTAAAAAAAAAAAAAACTCAACTCAATGTTGTTGTAATGTGATAAGACACTTGTTTTTAAACTCTGTGTAGATTATCAAATTGTCTTTGATAAAAACATGTGACATGCCCCCCTCCCCATATATATCCGTGATGCGCCTATATATGATCATAATGTGATGTCATCATGACCATATATAAGCATGTCACATTTGATAGTCTTTAGAGGAGTTTAGATGAGAAATAAAATTATTTTTATATGCAGATTCTGCCTATGCAACAACTTTTATGTTATGAAATATATAATGTACGTTTCTGGGTAGCTCTGGCTGTTATCTTTAATCCAAATTTCATTTGTTTATTTTTGTTTATGAAATTGAGTCATCGTTTCATACAGCATTGTATTTCCTTTAATATGTTGCCTATCGTTTTATATCTCAAATAGTAGTGCTACAAATATTATGGAATTAACTACTGTATAATGGTGATAATAATTAATATGTTGCCTATCGATTTATATCTCAAATAGTAGTGCTACAAATGTTATGGAATTAACTACTGTATAATGATGATAATAATTAATGAATGCTGAGGATAAATGATGATGGCAAATTACCTATGATAAATATGTAAACCCATTAAATTTTTAAAATTTCACTAATGGTGTCATAGAATATTTGTGCAGTTGACTTACAATTGGTATCTGAAGCCACTTTAAGTTACTTTTCATATATTTCCACTAATTGATAAAACTAAAATCAATTTGAAATTCTATTATTTCTCAAGTATTTCATAATTATGTAATTCAAAACTATTATTTAGGTACCTGTAAAAAACCCTGATGAAATTGATGAAATCTTTGACTTGATCTCGTACAGCAAAGGGGCATCAGTCATCAGAATGCTGCATGACTACATAGGAGATAAGGTAAGAGAGCCATCAAACATGTTCGCCTTTTAGGGAAAAGAACCATGCATAAAATATACCTTCTAAATCAGTTTATATACCTCATACCTAGATTCTAGGCGTCTGATCTGTTTAAGAAGCAGGCAATACCCCTCAAAAAGTACTATTCCCCTCAAAAATAGTACTTTTTTGCCCTGTCGCATGTGCAATCTCTAGGCCCACTTAATATCACGCTGATAGTAAAGGGGACTGCGACCTCTACGACGAAAGAGATTGGCCCTTGACTTATCAGCGAGTAGACGATAACCAAATATGGAGGCTAGGCCTAGTCAGTTCGAGCTCCTAGATGAAGGACTAGCCTAGGCCTAGCATTAATTTTTTATGAAGCCAATAGCAAAACCACCAAAAATTAAATATGTCTTGTCAACATTCGACAAATATTGCAAGACGATGGGCGCTGTTGAAATTGAAGAAATGAGCAAAGAAGAGCTAGACACACTCTTCGATCGTTTAAGCTAGCCTAGCAGGCAAGTACTTTTTTAGGCCTCATACAATGTATGTATGAGCTATATAAAGTCGGCCCTCGGAAGATAGGCTACGGTCTCCACATCACCTCGTGGCAATAGGTTTCCCTATTCCCCTCATGAGCAGTCAATATTTGTATAATATTTCTTACAGAGACTGTCTCATAATTTATCATACTTGCAAATTTAGTGCATTTTAAAATACAGGTCTCCCTCCAATTAAAGACCCTACCAACTAAAGACCACCTCCAATTAAAGACCACTTTTCTCTGGTCCCAAATTAATAAAAGTATTTTATCTTTATTATTCTAAAGAGACCAAAGCTGCCAAAGACCATGGAAACTCTGGTTCCAAAAGTGGTCTTTAATTGGAGGGAGACCTGTAGTTAAAATGCAGTTATATACATTCTCACAATTAGTGAATGCATGTATAGTATATTAGGCGAGACTTTTTTTATTCCTTGCTTTGCTTACTTATTTTTTTAAAGATTATTGGAGGAGGGCGGATTAAAAATTAAAATAAAATTTTGTTTTCTTATTTAGCAAATAGTTTTGCCAAAATCAACCGGACGGAGAAGAAAATAAAAATGAAATTTTTTTGGTGAATGTAAAATAGGATGTTTAAATGCTTCAAATTTATATAATTATGAAGAAATATACATATCTTTGGAGAATTCAAGGCAGCGGAGAGCCTAATAAATATTTAAAACAATATTTTATTTTTTCCTGAAATTTCCAGTTTTTCGTGGCAGTGGGTGTGCTAATTGGCCAAAAATAAAATTTTATTTTTATTCAAAATCATCAATATTTGCAGTAGGCGGGTTCGCTAAACAAGGTAGAAAAAAAGTCTTGCCTTAACTTATTGTAACTTTTAGTGTATGGATATAGTACATTGTAACATTAGTGTATGCATATACCTCTGACATCAACTATATATTATATCTGCATCAAACCTGATCATGTCACCATTGCTCTTCTCCAAATCTAATGCTGCATTTCTGAAGTTCATTCTTGGCTTGCAAAATGCTTTCCTTTCATGCTAAGGAAACACAAAACTTGTTTATTTATCCTAAACCTAAGCAGAACATCCTATTAACAAACAAACTATGATCTCAGGACTGGCAACGGGCGAATCTCACCATCCTTCTATGTTTGGTGTAGTCTTTGATGACTGCCTGTATTGTGCCAAGTGTCCTTGTTGGTTTGCCTAGTACTCTCCTACTAAAGTCTCTGTTTTATATTAAGGTTCACCACCATTCTACGTTACAACCAGTCAGGAAATGAACAGCTATTTAAGGCTTGCCAACCCAAGACTAGCATCAGTGACAAAAAAATGAAAATTTACTTTTTAACATATTCTTATTCTTCATATTGTAAGCTTTAAAATGATGGGTCATTTGCTGAATCAACTTACTATTGCCAAAGTTTTGAGTAAAATGTTACAGCTTTGCTGTACTAATGTATACAATACTGTCACATTCTTATGCTAATTACTCAGTGTAACAGTTACCGCTGTGAGTATACTCGTTTTAGAATGACCAGCCTCATGTAGTGATGCATATTTTAGTTAGCTAAACATGATGGATGACACAAGGTTTGTAAAACCCAAAGTTTTTTCAAATACGATAGATTTGCAATGTTATTTTTAAATGCATTATTAGCATTTATTAAAAACAATTTCATGATTTCACACATAATAAAATAATACTGTTATATTTTTGTAAAAAATGCAACATACTATATTACGGTCTTTACCTAATAATATGTAATCTGTAGAAGTGGTTTGGCGTAGCAGAAGCGGTGTGGTTTCCCAACCTTGAGATCAAGGTTTCAATCCCTCTCTGTGTATTTCGCTTGTGTCCTTGAGCAAGGTACTTTATCTGTGTTGCTTCTTTTTACCCAGGAGTATAAATGGGTGCCTGGTGGGGTTTCCTGCTACTGCACCAATATGGAAGCAACTTTTAAGCATGTGGACCCAATTACCAGGGAGGATGGGAGAACATGTGGCATATCTAGAAGTCTTGAAATGGTGGGTGGGGGGCTGATGGGGGTGCGAAGGTGAAGTAGGGGAGTTCGATGATCAGTTGAGGGGCGCTAATTCTTAAAATAAGTTGATTTTAGGGGATTTTTAATTACTTGATCGTGATTTTTGGGTTTTTTTTGGGGGGGGGGTGGGGGCGCAAGATACGCCATTGCACTTCATGTGAATTGTTAAAGGACCTTATTAGCTTACTTGCAGTTGTTAATGTTTATGTAAATCATTGTTGCAGGACTTCAAGACAGGGATGAACCAGTATCTGAACAAGTTCAAATACTTGAATGCAGCTACAGAAGACCTTTGGGAGAGTCTAGAAAAGTCTTCTTCCAAACCAATTGGACGCATCATGACTGCTTGGACAAAACAAATGGGCTTTCCTCTTCTCAAGGTCTCGTCAGAGCAGAAGGATTCATCTCGCGTCCTAACAATTTCTCAGACCAAATTCATTGCAGATCAATCTAAAGATGGTATTACATTTTCACTAATTGTTTTACAACTGAAGTTTTGCTAATGAAATATTAAACTATGTTTCTGGCACAATAAAAATTATATCAGAAATAGTGGTTTTATTCAAATTTTAAAAGGCCCTCGTGAAATACATTATGAACTAATTAATTAATAAAATATTTAATACAATCAAAAATATGTAACAATTTATACTCAAGAATTTTATTTATTGTTTTTGTGAAGCACTTTGTACAACACAATTTTTTTTTTAATGAATACATAAATATAGATTACAATGACAAGTGTATAAAAATACTGCCTATTTTTTCTGTATTCTTCTCAGAAGAAGGAAGTCTATGGGAAGTGCCTGTTTCTATAGTAACCAGTGACAACCCATCTGAAGTGTGTCATAAGTTTGTTTTAAGTAAGGCTTCTGATACTGTCACTCTTGAGAATCTACCAGCCGAGAAATGGGTGAAGGTAAAGCAGGTTTATCAGTGTTTTACGTGAATGTACAGTACTTTGGTTAATATATCCTTTAAATTTATTTTGTGTATAATTCAACAAAAATTGACCCTATATTTTAAGGAATGAATTTGTTATAACACCATTTCAATATAATCCATGAATTATTAATGTAATAAAAATAGTAATAAAAGAGTATCTGACCATAGAGGTGCATGTACTTATCCCTTTTATTACTTTATTTTAGAGAAATATAGGATAATTGAAAAATATATGGCATAATAAATTTTTATGATAGAGCACTCAGGCTTTCTGGATGCAACAAACTAGACAGAAGTCTTGGTGCCATTTTTCAATTGTATGACATATTTTTACCAATCAGATAACTGGAAATGTTATGGTTTATAATAGAGAAATACCCAGAAACCAGAAAGAAATTTTATTTAAAAAAATCTATGAGATCTTGAGTTTTGGTTCTGTGTAAGTGGTGTGACTTTTTTATATGCGAGATATTTTATTTGTATTTTATATGTGTGTGTTTTATATGTACTTGATAACGATATTAATTGAATAAACTTTTGATTAATTGATTGATTTATTGATTGATCCTATAGTTAAATCCAGGAGCTGTTGGGTTTTATCGTACTCATTACTCCACTGAGATGTTGGATGCTCTGTTACCCAGCATCAAGGACGGTTCTTTACCTCCACGAGACAGACTCAATCTAGAAAGTGATCTCTTTGCATTGGTGAGGAAATGTTTAATCTGTTTTTCTTTCAAAACAGGACTACATTACCCAATATAAAGCCTGTAACTATCTTTTTCAGTGAAGTAAAGCGTCTAATTTTCAGCATCCATTGAAAGATACACAATTTGTTTGAACAGATATGTGTGTAAAGCCCTATCCAGACTATTAAATGTCATTTGAAAAAGAACTTGTGACATGCCTATGTATGGTCATGATGACATCACATCATAACCATATAAAGGCACATCATGACTAGTAATGGACATACAAACAGTTTTTTTGTAAAAATAAAAAACTTCAGAGTTTAACAAGCATATACTATCAACAATGTTTGATCAGACAAGTTCTGATAGTGTATGAGAGGGCTTAAGCTACAATATAAGACTTAGTTAAAAAGCATCAAATTTTTATCTAAAATTAGTGTGTTAGTCGCTGTCGGATGAGAAAGAATTTTTTTTAAACTTACATTGCTAATTGTTTATAAGATCGCAGCTTAAAATTATTTGTAACATTGTTTTTCCAACTGAATATTATTCATCTTTAGGCCAAAGCTGGAGCAGCAAGTACTGTGGAAGCTTTACGAGTGATGGAGGCCTTTGAATCAGAGATGAACTATACCGTATGGTGTGACATTGCATCCAATCTAGGTTCTCTGGCAACGCTTATAGCCTTCACTGACTACAGCACCAGACTACAAACTTTTGTCAATAAGCTGTTTTTACAAAGTTACGAAAGACTGGGCTGGGAAAAGAAAAAGGAAGAGGGTGAGATTATTTACTACTTTTTCTAAACTATATAATTTGCATTGTTTTTATTTTTTTCCCCTTGTTATAGAAGTGTGGTCTTTCTGATTTTTACCATTATTGTTTCAATGTTATTGCAATTTCTTTAACATTTTTGTTTCTATGTTACAGTCCCTAAATAGTGTTAGATGTTTCTGATTTGTAATTTGAATTACCTGCCATGTTTAATGATATTAAACCCCATTTTATGTAAGTTTTATGTAATTTTTTTTTTCTAGGACATTTGGATGCTTTGTTAAGAAGCTTAGTTATTCGTATCATGGGTCGTAACGGTCATCAACCCGCAGTGGAAGAAGCCAGGAAGCGTTTCAAGGAACATATAGCTGATGTCAGTGTACTCCCAGCTGACCTAAGAGCCCCAGTAAGTAATAACCATAGAGGTAGTATGATAAATACAGTGCAAACTACTGTATCTGACAAAGCAATGCAGAGTTGTGTATTGGTACTGTACAAGATGGCCATAGGAAAAGCACTACCTTCATTCTTGGTATACGGATTACAATCATAAAATTATTAACCTAGCCTAGCAAGGAAGAGTCAAGCCTAATATACAGGTCACATAACTGTATTCAAAACATTCATATTAAAATGAGGTTGCAATTGAAAACGATGTTTGGATGTACATTGATTGGCTAACTCTGTGTCAGTCATTTTGTGGTTGGCACAAATAGTATCATTATTTTTTATATTTTACCCAAAGATTAGGTTACTTAGTTATCAATAACAATAATAAGGTAGAGATTTGTAACGCACCATTTGAAAGACAGGAGTCGGTATCATTAGCTCTGGATGTTAATGGTGGAATAGGGACATCATAAGTGATTTTTTAAATGGAGCGATTGAAGTCATTTTTTCGTACAGCAAACGAAAATAATATATTGAAACTGAAAGTAAGTGAAGATCAGCAAAGCATATTAACAAATCTGTATCTTTGGGGTTATTAATTATTTTATCAAGCTTCAGTGTCTTAGAATATTCATTTGTACAAAGCATCAAAAAAGGTTTTCCTTCTGCATCGTAGCCTTAATCAAGTTTTATGATGGAGGTCGGTATTATAAAAAAATCTTGGTAGCTTTCATAGGACTGAGTTTGTTTCTTGAAGATATCATAGCCTAGACCACCTCCTCACTAACCTTTACTCGTAGTATGTAAAAATGGCTAACCCTTTGGTTTAATAGCAGTTTCAATGACATTTTCATCTTTTTTAAATCAAGTCTAAAAAAGAAATTATGGTGTCATCCTTATGTTCATTAACAAAATTAAATATCTCGTTGATCTTGAGTCAAATTGATGTCGCATTCAATAGACAGGCAGAGATCAAATTTTTCAAATCTTCATTGTTGTGCTTGTACACCTGTGGGATACATACAATATCCCACAACTCATCAATTTAATGCTTAAATTTTAATGCATTTTAAAGCACAAACCTCAAATTTTAACTTATGCATATTTGTATAAAGAGATCCCTGATTGTGTAAACTTGAATTTACTTTTGAGCAATTCAGTTGGGTTTCAGTGACTTCATTTTTATTTTGTTTTGTTTTTCAATCTTGTATTGCATCCATGTTTGTTGTTGAATTCTAATAATTTTTTTATCAGAAATGAATGAAATATATCATATGATATACAGTATGATCATCATTTTTTTTATATAATTTTAGGTTTATAACACGGTACTTGTTCATGGAGGTGCAGAAGACTTTGAGGCAATGTTGGATGTAAGTAGATGCTTTCATAGTGAATCTATAATTTCCTTTTAAATGTTTATTTTTAAATCTAATATAAATAGGAAAATTTGATGGATTTTACAACGAAAATAACCAGAATGTTTTATTAATTATTTTTTTGTTTCAGTTGTTCAATAAGCAGGAACTTCATGAAGAACGTGAGCGCATAATGCGTTCCCTAGGGGCAGTCAAGGACCCACAGTTGATCAAGAAAGTCTTGGAATTTGCAATGTCGGTAAGGACGTCTGCTGCTCTACAGTATGTATGTCTTATTAATGAGACAGTAGTACACAGCAGTTTGATTTGGTTTGTTTTGCTCAAAACCAAAAGTGCAGATGCTTCTGTACAGTGTTGCATTGCAACAGGTACACTTCTTTTAACCACACTGTTAACAGCTGATGCACTTCCACTAGATTATTTGAGCACAACAGGCACACCACATGGCCCACCACGTGGGGACTTCCATTGCATAACTAGGAACATGACCTATATTAAGACTCTGCTTCCCTTTTTTTAATTCCCTTAGATCATATTTCATTATATTTTTATTGCCATGTTTTACTTGATTACATATCCTCATTGAATCTCAGTCAACTAATCAAATGTATGTGAATCTGTAGTTACATATTTTTTTGGTGTTTAATTATTATTCTATGTAGGCCACACTAAGTATATTTTCCATGATAGATTTTATCATACATTGATTAACCAATTAAGGACTTGGCGTGATAGCTTTTACAACAGGATAGTATTGCTATAAGCATTATTTTCAATTTACAGTAACACATAAATGTTTTTTTCTTCTCAAATTGCTTGGAATTGTAATGTTATTTGATGTCATAGGCACTACAAGTTTTATGAAAAGTTTGTGATAAGAAATTATGAGAACTTGGACTTTTGTACATGTTGACATCACATTTTTATGAGGAGGATGATGATGTTAAGACAATATGAAAATTTTAGATGAGAGGGCCATTTTTAAGTGTCTGGAGTTAGAATATTGTCTACATTTTATCTGGTTCCCCCACACTTTTTTTTATTCCCCTGTTTTAAAACAGATTTGTGGCATTGAAATGCATGCATGCGATATTGAAAAGACTATCTTGAAAAAAATTCTATCATATTTGTATTTATTTTAATATATATAACATATTGTTTACTTTTACGTCAATTGAAAGGTTTGTAGAAGTTGTTTATATTAAATATCAATGAAATCGATTTAACTTATTAATAATAATCATGTTACAGGATAAAGTACGCTCACAAGATACTGTGTTTGTGATTGTCGGAGTTACTGGTTCCAAAACTGGACGAGAACTTGCATGGGAATTTCTGAAGGAGAATTGGTCTGAAATGATAACTCGCTATGCTGGAGGATTTCTTCTATCTCGACTTGTGAAAGTAAGTTGCCCTCAATTTGTCTTAAGGTTTTAAAATACTGAATCTTTTTTTTTTTTTTTTAACATCTTCTACAAACCCCACAAATACAAAATCCATTTGTGGCAAAGACAATTCAAACCAGTCACTCCTCACAAAAATGAATTTTTAGTTATTAATACAGGGTTAAACAGTAAAATGAAAGTTATAAAATGTTAAAAAAATCTGACAGTCATTATAAAGTTACAAGAGTTTAAACATACAGCTGTTTAAAGAACAGTATTTGAGAAATCAGCCTTCACAATTTACAATTTTCAACATTTCACAGGCAAAGACTATCACCAAATCGTTAAAAAAATTTAGTTTTAACATTAAAAAGAATATAGGGAAAATAAAAACATAACTTGAAGTATAAATATACAGTATAAAGTTAATTTTATTGGATTTCACAATCCAACATGTTTTGGCCAATACAGCTGAAACACGATTTGCGAAGAGTAACTGATTTGGCTTGTCTTCACCACATTTTACAAATGTGTGGCATGATGTCATAATAAACCACCTACCAACTACCAGAACATTTTAAATTATAGTTAAAAATTCTAGAAAATATTATAAAATGTTACAGCAGAGAAAAATGCATTTAAATCTAGGAATTTTGATTTCTTTTTAGCTGAGATATATTCAAATTGGTCCAAGCATGCTCAATTAATTCATAATTATTCTATAATCTCAACATTTAAATCATTTTGAAACTTGATCAAGTGTGATATGATTTAAATTAATTTAACCTTATATATTAACTGACTTTTGTTAGTGGTAATTGTTGTGTAGTTGTGAGTGTAAAACCAGTGAAAAAGCAGAAGACACCAGCATCACCGCTTTGTTTACCAGCACTTTAAAGCCCTCAATGACGGCTCGCTGGTTCACAACTCACAAAAGCTCTAATGGTGCTGGTGTCTGACTGTCATTTCATAACTTATGCAACTGTATATTGTTATAAACAATTGTTTATTTTTGTAGTGTACAACAGAAGGATTCGTCACAGAGGAAAAGGCACAAGAAATTGAAGCATTCTTCCGTGAGCATTCTGCACCAGCGGCTGAGAGGACCATCAAGCAGTCGCTGGAGAACATCCGTCTTCATGCTTCCTGGTTGAAGCGAGATGGCGCTGCCATTGAAGCATGGCTCAAAAGCAAAACTGAATAAGCTATAACAAATGTTATGGCCACCCATTTCATGTAGGCAGATGTACTATGTTTGCAGCCTTACACTAAGATGTGATATTGTAGATCATCTCAAGACTTATTAGTAGACAACATTTTTTTTAATAAATCCTATTGAAAATTAATACTCAGATAAACCCACCAATGTTATAAGCCTATCATATGTATAGAATGGAGTAGTTTTCACAGGTTATGCACTGCAGAATCCAAAATTGTGGATGAAAAGTTATGAACATTGGGAAAACCATGTTGTGAATTATTAAAAACACGCCTTAATTCGCCGTATTTTACTGACAGTTAATATGAAAATGAAATTTTGTTTTTTTTAGACACTAATTTTGAACTCGTATTTCTCTATAAAGTAAACTTACTTGTATTCTCATATATTTTCCTTAACTTGTCTTCTCATATGATTTATAAAACTTAAAATAGATGCATCAGTTATTTACAATTACGATGTGAACAGCAATCAGTGAATCAGTAATCAGTTTATGTAGTATTTTGGTTGTCCTCATTAATGATAAATATTTAAAAAAATTATCCACCAAGTGGTAGGGCCTTAAAGGCTTTTTGTTTGTGAATAATCAATAAGATATTGCTGACAACTTTGAACTTTTTTCAAAAACACTTTTGGTTCAGTGGCACACATATCTGATGGATGATGCATCCAAATTACAAATATTTTAAAGAATTACATGGTATAACTAAAACAACCTAGAGTACAATATACAGTATGCAGCCATTTCTTAGTTTATCTTCAAAGAAAATAATTGAATAGGCCTATGTGAATTATGACTATTAATTGTAATGAGTCTGCAGTACAGGTACTGTTGCAACTATGTTGTTAATTTGTCATATACTGAGACAATACAGTAGTGTAAGACTCTAAAACATAATGGATGCATGAACAATCTGTTTATATGTTTATATAGTGATGTAATTTTTATTTTCTATATTTGTTTTTGAATTTAATTCACACATATTAAGTAGTACTGTATATGACATGTAGCTCCTCAGGAGTATTGGCTACAAACCTCTTTGTTGAACATAAACACACTGTTGACAGCTTCAGCTGCAAACTATAATGTCTTAACCATATTAGCCGAGCACTGACTGCACCCAGTTGTCGTCAGCTAATGCTATTCTATAGAGAACGCCACAACAGACGCACAGTGGATTGTTGTGCTGCCACAGACAATCAGCCGATGGTATCGCGTCGTATAGCGCTCACAGGGATTGAAGTTGGAATCGGCACCTCATGACCGTCATACAAGGCACTGAGTGTCTGGCTGTAGTGCCCAGCTTTAGACTTCATGCCTTTTAATGGGGTTGATAAAGTCATTTTCTTACATTATTCCAATATGCAGTTAATTGTTTTTCTGCAGCTGAAACCTCTCCCGACCGTTTTTCTGTTTTGTAATGCTGTCGTCCTAAACAAATAAACAAAGTAAAAAAGTTTTTGCCTGGAAACTTCTGTTTTAGTCAAGTACATACAACAATCAATAAAATTCATTACATTAATTTCCACAAAGTTCCTGTATTTCTTACATAACAATAGCGACGATATCTGTAGTCAGTTAACACTGGAATCCTTCAATTTGACATTTTCAAATTACTGTAGTTAAAAATCAAAGAACAATGTTAGACACAATTACTTGTGTTTCGTAAGTGACTCTAGGCTGGTAGGAAGCAGCTTATTATTGGTCCGGCCAAGAAGATGAAGGGGACAACCCCACCTTCACCCGATTGCAGACAGTGTTATTTTAACAGTGGTAGTGGCAGATGAGGGTCCAAGTTTCTCCACGGGAAATTCTCAGCCCCAACCATGGTGGAGCTAAGGTGAGCACATTTTTAAAATGCTGTAGATGCACAGAAGTGGCCTCTAAGACTAAAATACTGTTATCCCAGGGTTTTGTTCTCTTCACCCAGCTGGTGGCCTTTTCATTGCTATTTTCAAACTTCTGAAGTACAGACTTTTGGAAAAGTATGTTCTATGCATTGTTCTTTTGTTTGGAAGCACCCAGGTTTGACAATGCTATAACTAAACACATACGTTATTATTATTCTTTAATAGGTAGTTTGTAAACAAATTGTAATACGCATGCGCAAACCCGTAACTAACGTACGTCGAGCACGTAAAATCCTGAAATTTACGTACTCCGAAACGCAAGATGAATAAATTATGACGTCATCCGTTAAGGTTAACGTCGTGCGGTGAAAACTGCCTATTAATGACCAAATCACGCAATTACTGAGGTTTACCTTTCCTATTTAATTTCAGCATCTGCCACTCTGGGACCACTCCTGTCTTTAGGAGGTCGGAACCCAGAACCATTTCACAGAGCAAAACGTGTTATATTGGGGCCAGACAAGCACTCGGGTATAACCTGGTTTGACCATGGACCTAATAGGTCCATGGTTTGACATTGCTGTTACTGAACCCAGAAGTTGTAATTACAGTATACTTTATTAATGCTTGAATTAAATTCAATTTTCACTTGCTCAAAAGTGTTTTACATTCGTAAATTTATTTTTATTTTAATGTTTTAAAATACTTACTTATTGCTACTTATTAACAATCTCACGTGAACGTACACCAGGGGGTTCTTTCCACCCAGGGGGATAAATGGGCACCTGGTAGGGTTGCCTACCCCTGCGATGTTTACCAGCAGCAACACTTAACACATGAGGACCCAATGACCAGGGGAAAAGAAGCGCTTTATATCTACAAAGAAAAGGCGCTGTATAAATGATATAAATAATTAAGTAATAATCATAAAATGTTCCCAATTTATGATACATGCATTGTTAATGACCAAATATTCCTTTTTATGTTTAAAATATTGAGCTTTCTATTGGATGAATGTAGCATGAATAGAGTAACGACTTAGACTTAATGGTGCATGGTATGTATTAGAATCTATATCGAAAAACAAAGGAAACGAAATCCCCATTTTTAAGGGTCAAAATCGACAAGACTGGTTTATATGAAGTAACACATTGAGTAGGCCTATACCGACGTTTACAAAGAATTGAGGGGAGAAAATTATTGTTTATTTCTCAAAAGGTGTTAAAATGTGAAGTTGAATGAATTTTTCTTACTTTGCGACTGCTGTAGTTGTTGTGATACAATGATAAAACAAATTAAGTGTCCCCTTAATAGGGGTTCTTTGACCATTTTGGCACACTCAGAAAGTGTCCCCGTCCCCTTAATAGGGGTTGGCCATAGTGTTAAAAGATATATTGCCCCTCGTTTCATGGAAAAGTGTCCCTTAATAGGGGTGTCCGCTGAATAGTGGTTTCCCAAATGAGGGCAATTTCCGGCCATCTAGAGGTGACATGATCATAAAATGTATTACTCAGCGCCAATCATGGTGAGGCTGAGGTTGGTGGATCCTCTCTCGGTGAAAATGCCTTGCTGGGCCCTCTCTACTTCGGATTCCTGAACCCGTCACTGTCACCAATCAAATTTGACAGTGGAAAACAAAATCATTTATGAAAAAAAAAATTGACAAGGACGTAGTATTGTCCGATTCATTGTGTAATATTTTAATATATACATTTGCATACCTATGTCGAAAAATAGTAGCCCTATATACTGTATATGAAATTATAAATATTGGTGGTAGAAACAGTGCCCGAAAATTGGAAAACCAAAAAGTTCCTTATTGTTTTGGGTTCGATATTCCAAACATAATATGAATTTAAGTATAATTATTTGGCGTCGCTCAAAATCTTCCAAAATGTTACTACGTCACATGCGCATATGTACAGATCCCAACGCGCGCATCTTATTATGACGTTCTCTCTGTCGTAAAATCGAACTTGCTGCTGACTGGTCAGCAGTAAGCTAGTTGCGCATTGCGCACCTTAGAACGTAATACTCCTTGTAATACCATCGCAACAAGTCATTCTTCAAACAAACCACCTCAGAAGGATTTATCTTTCAAAATGTTCAGATCGATTAGATTCACACTTGCTCTTTAAAAAAGCTGACATTATCGTTGTTTTGCACGTGGTGCCTGCAAAAAAGTAAGTAAAACTTAACTTGAACCAGTTTTTGTTAAGAACATGCACCAATCAATAAAAATACATTACAGTAATTTACATCAAGTTCTTTTTTTATATAGCAATAGCGACAGTATCTGTAATCAAAAAGTATTTATAATCTTTTCTGTAGTCAGTTAACACCGGAATCCGTCATGCTGATATTTTCAACTTACTGTAGTTAAAAATCGAAGAAAATGTTGAACAAAATTACTTTCGAAAGCGATTCCGTGTCCGTTATTTGGTCCGGCCAAGGGGACCCCCACCTTCATCACCCGAATGCAAAGAGCGTTATTTTACCACTGGCAGGGCCGGAGAGGGGTCCAAGTTTTTTGACGAGGGATCACCATGGTTGGGACTGAGGTGAGCACATCCTTAAAATAGGTACCTCTAGATGCATGGAAATGGCTCCTGAGGCTGTAAAAGTTAAGTTAAGTGTTCTCTACTAAGGCCTTTAATCCCGAGTTTTTGTTCCCCCAGCTAGTGGCGCCGTCACTTGCGTTTCCACCTATATTGTATAATTTGGGATATTATACGTTCTTTTGGTGCAAATAGCTCCCAAATGAATGAAAATTTAAATAGAATATTCACGGATCATGAGATTCAGGCTCTCAAAATGCTATTGTCTGAGCTTCCGCCCAGCGGAGTGGGGTACGGATCTTTCCGACGACAGCAAATTTGGCGCTGTCACTTGCGTTTTCCACTTCTACAATATAGACTTTTGGAAAAGTATGTCTATATGCATTATTCTTACCGGTTCGGAAGCACCCAGTCCCGCCCCCTCCCCGCCCTTTTTTTTTTGGAGGTAAAAAAAAGGGAAAAAAAAGAAAAAAGGAGAGAAAAAGAAAAAAAAATATAGCACAGAATGCCTCAAATGTTATGTTCGAGCGTCTAGAACACAAAAATTTCGCGGGGCATGCCCCCGAACCCCCTAGGGCAATGTTGTCTCGATGGGCCCAACTTTCGGGAATGAAAGCTGAGAAAAGATTTTGATGTTACGTCACATGCACAGACTACCAGCCCATGCCACGCACGCATCTTATTATTATGACGTTCTCTGTCGGAAAATCAAACTTGCTGCTGACTGGTCATACGTTGCGCATCGCGTACTTTAGAACGTAACACCATCGCAACAACTTAGTTCCATTGTACAAACCATGCAAACAAACCACCTCAGAAGAATTTTTATGTTCAGATCGATTCACAATTGCTCTCAATAAACATGCAATTATCGTTGTTGTGCACTGGCTTCCTGCAAAAAAGTAAGTAAAACTTAACTTGAACCAATTGTGATTGCTTCGATTTAAGTTGTTTGACTGACGAAGACAAAAATGAAAAGAAAACGATCATCAACACCATCAACAAGTGAAGGCCAGTAGACGGAAGCCCGGTCGCGTATCGTGTGGTCAATCTGCGTGCCACAGCAAGAGAAAGCGTAAAAAACGCCAGTTTGCTCGGAAAAACAAGCGGTCCAAGACATAAACTGACTCTTAAAGTGTAGCCATTATCATAAATAATCAATCAATTTGATAATGAGCTTGCAAAAATATAGACCTAGTGGGGCAGCGCATTCCTCTAAACATTACCAGTCAAACACGAGAATGAATTACTGGTGGTGGTAGAGCAGTATTAGATAGAAAGTTAAAAAAAAACAAAGATGGTCGTAATTGCCGCGGCTGTTGCAAAGAATTAAAGGGGAGCAATCACAAAAATGAGTACAGCAATCAGGGACGTATCCAGGTGGGAGCCGCGTGGGAGCCGCGGCTCCCCCCCCCCCCCCCCCCCCCCCTACCACCACTTTGTACACAGTGTTAAAATTTTAAAGCTTTTCTTGAGCCAATACAAATGAATCACTCAAAGTGAATACTGTACTTCTAAACATGTCAATATGCATCAGTACACGTTATATATAGGCCTAATATAGAACACATAGGCTTAAGCGTGATTTTTAAAAATCTTAAATCCATCAATCTCAGGCCAGGTCTTTTAAGATAGAAATGCGATACTGTGGTTCAATTTCGTTTTTATCCTTTTGCAAGTTTCTTTAAATGTTTGTTTAATATTACTACTACTAATAATAATAATAATAATAATAATAATAATAATAATAATAATAATAACAATGATGATGATGACGATAGTAATAATTGATAATAATATTAATAGCAATAAAAAGTGAAGAAAATTGTGCAAAATGCGAAAAAAAGTTGTGATTTGTTGATCGTAATATAGTAGATATAGTTAAAGCTTAGTAAGCTATAATTAGGCCTAAGTTGTCCTGGATATTAAGTAGGTCCCTGATAAAAGATCATGAGAAATTTGTTGGCGTTTCATTTTGACTATATTATGGTAATGTTATGATGATGAATTTTACTATATAAAAGTGTCATTTCCGGCCATCTCGAGGGGTACTATTTCCTCAAATTTTCTCACCTCAGAGCCATGGTGGGACTGAGGTGGTTGTGAAATCACGTTTTTGAAGTAGGCCTATGTAAAGTACATACTCAAAGACAATGTTTTTAACTTTATTTTATATGGTATATCACACACACATTAATAAGATCTCTATGGTTGTCAAAAATCCCTGATCAAAGATCATGTTTGTTTAATAATAATACTACTACTAATAGTAATAATAATAATAACGATGATGATGATGACGATAGTAATAATTGATAATAATATTAATAGCAATAAAAAGTAAAGAAAATTGTGCTAAATGCGAAAAAAAAAAGTTGTGATTTGTTGATCATACTATAGTATATAGGCCTAGTTAAAGCTTAGTAAGCTATAAATAGGCCTAAGTTGTCCTGTGTGATTTTTTTTATGTACACACTTTGTATTATATATGCCTGTTTGTGTCTGTATATTTTATATCTGTATAATATCTTTTCATTTGTTTTCGTTTTCTGCATTAAAAATGTTAAGGTTTTAAGTTGAACTTTAAAATGCTACAGTATCTTTTCTGACGGTTGGTAGAAATTGGGGTTGGTTTTTCATTTGGCATTGTGAATTGTTTTAATACTTATAATTTGTTTGAAGTTCGGCATTTGTTCATTAATTTTTTTTTTTTTGTTATTTAATGTTTAATTTAGATATGGTTGGGAACTTTAGGTGTTAAGGGAATGGTAAATGGGTAATTTGGGTTTCTGTTTCAGTTCTTACCGACTTACAACGTTGGTTATGTAATTTATGATAAGCTTCCATTGCATTACAATTATACAAAAATACCATTCATAATTATGATACAGCTTAGTTTGATAGAACTTGAAAAAAAAAAAAAAAAAAAAAAACACACACACACACACACACACACTAAAAAAGACAGATATCAAACACGGCACATCATTTCATGTGGGTCCAAGGTCATTTCCGCCCTCACTTTCGGACAAGATGCTGCATTCTATAGAGCAAATAGATACATGTATTTTTATTTATTTATTTATTTATTACCTCCATACATACAGAACTATCACAAATCAGGGATGGAATGGCCAAAAGGGTGCCAAGAGGACACTATGGACTGAGACCAACGAGATGTGGGTATCTTCAAACCCCTGGTCAAATAAACATACAATAAATTACAAAGGCGATATATCAGATTAAAATAGCTTATAAAAAGATTGAAAAAAACATACTAAAATTACAGATTTTAAAAATGGGCTTACAGGATTTCTTTATGCAAACTGCAACCGTTAAAACACCAATAAAATTTGAAGTTAGTGAAGCCTACAAAATTTAAATGTTGCTCAAAATTCCGAACAATTTAAGACCAAAAGTAAGTCTCTACGATTTTGCATTGCCAAGATATTAATATGAATTAGTCTTTTAGCTGGCCATATTGAATTCATACTTGACACACAACTTTTTATTTTAATCTACACATAGTGCTTATCAAACATATTTTGTGCCAAGTTTCATGCTGTGGTAATAAATTATTTATTTAGAGTTTAGCTGCTCTATACTATTTGGGATAGTGCGTATACGTATGCAGTTGTCTTGTTAAGAGATTCATACTATTGAACACAGACAGACTATTTTCTACGAGAGCTGCTCTGCTGCTATACCATCATAATTGCACAAGTCCTACTTTATAACGATAATGACGCATTAATGCCGCACATTATTATTTAATGAGAGTGATAGTACAGTAGTAATGCTTATAATAATATATTAATGTTGCAGGCCTACATTATTAATGAATGATTTATATATGTCTATTTACACAAACTTTGCCAACACTTTCGAATTAGTTCATATTCATTGTGTAACTTCTTTCCTCTGTTTTAGATATTTATATAGGGTTTTGATGTGCATATTGTACATTGTCTAAATTATTATTTTTATTATTGAAAATGTTAAAATATTAGGCCTAATGTTATAATGAAAAAAGCAAGTGTGTGCGCTGAGCCGAGTATATCTTTACATAACGTAGGTCCCTGGTTCATTCCTGTCTGATAGGCCTACTCTACTTGTGTCTCAGCTGGAGGGTTGCTGGGAGGGTTGAAATTGTCAATGGTGCACCATTTCTTAATGAATAATAAGAATATGTGGTGAGAGAATGTACCGGTAGTCAGAAATATGCCTATTCTATTTACAGATTTTGTATATTTATTTAATTTTCTTTTTATTTGACATTTTATTTAATTTAATTTAAATGTATTTACATATATGTATTAATTTTTTTTACATTATTTATATATATTAATATATCTTTTAAAAATATCATATTTTATAAAATACAATGTTTTTTAAAAATGAAATTATCAAACTAATTTGTATTTATCATGCATGTTTATGTACTTAACACAAGCAATCATAAATACAAAATTAATGCACTTCTTCACTAGAACTTTATTGATAACTTTGCTGAAGAAATAAACATCAACACTTTGCATAGAAAAATGAGCTTTAATATAAAAACATAAAAAGATGCAAAAAATATATTAACCTTATAACATTAACACAATCTCTACTAAAATACTCATTATTCTACAATTAGACATACATTAGGTTTTAACGCATACCAATCGTAAATAATCTATAACATTTTGCATTAAAGTATTTATTGAAATAGCAAGAAAACTTTAAAACATGCATTAAACTATGAACATTAACACATTTTCTACTTAAAATCTACTCATTATTATAATTAGCCATTATGCTTTAACACAACCAATCGTAAATTTAGGATTAATGCATATTTTTAATGCAATATATTTTATTTTTAGGTTACTATTAAAATATAACTAAACCACTACTGTGAGAATAGGAAATTGGGAATATCCATGATAAGCATGCGAACTTTAAACAAAATAAATAGTATAACAACTATTAATATTTTAATAATAACACACCAACTACTAGAAAACTAAGCCTAGTTGAATGGTAGTTTGTTTTTTTTGTTTTTTTTAAATATTTATCATTTTACAAAAATCATAGATGTCAAATCTCTATCTTATCGAATGAACTTGTGAAGTGTGGACACGACAGAAAACTTAGATTTTCTCGAATTCAGAACGTTGGCCCTAAAATTCTGCAAAATTATAGTTAATCACCGGTATTCACCAGTTTACTAATAACGTTAGTTTTATCTTTAAAATTTTAGTCTACTTCTTCCACAGTTGGCCCTGTGTTTGAATCTTGTGATGTACCTCCTGGTCCGGCAGCACTATGAAGCTTAGACATAATTGGTGAACATACATTCTGGAGCTCCTTTAGCCTGTAATCAAATTCGTCTTTAGATGCTAGGTTGTTGCTGTCCAGCCACGCAATAGCATCCTTCACTGCATTCTCAATGGTAGTCTTGTCCGTACTACTTATCTTGCTGGCGATGGCAGGATCTTCTATCGTGGATTTGATATTGTAAGTGTATCCTTCGAGATTGTTTCTGGCTGCGATTCTTTCACGCTGGATATCATCCTCAGCCTTGAATGCCTCTGCTTCGTTGACCATTCTTTCGATGTCTGCCTTTGATAAACGTCCTTTGTCATTGGTAATTGTGACGCTACTGGTCTTTCCTGTTCCGACGTCCTTCGCAGACACATTCATGATACCGTTTGCGTCAATGTCGAATGTCACTTCAATCTTTGGCACCCCTCTCGGGGCAGGAGGAATGCCAGATAGATCAAAAGTTCCAAGGCGGTTGTTGTCTTTAGTCATCGCCCTTTCTCCTTCAAATACCTGAATAGAAACTGCAGTTTGGTTGTCAGAGTAAGTTGAGAAAGTTTCTGATGCCTTCGTTGGGATGCGAGAGTTTCTCTTTATCAAGTTTGACATGACACCTCCAGCAGTTTCAATGCCAAGTGATAAAGGTGCCACGTCCACCAGCAATACATCTTTGACGGCATCATTATCCACTCCAGATAAGATGGCTGCCTGAACCGCTGCACCATAAGCAACAGCTTCATCCGGATTTATGGATTTATTCAAAGCCTTTCCGTTCAAGAAATCTTGAAGAAGTTTCTGTATTTTAGGGATTCTTGTAGAACCACCTACCAACACCACTTCATGAATCCCGGCTTTATCTAACTTAGCATCGCTGAGAGCTTTCTCGACTGGCTCTAAACATTTGCGGAACAGGTCTGAGCAAAGCTCTTCAAACCTAGCTCTAGTGATGGATGTGTAAAAGTCGATGCCTTCAAAAAGAGAATCAACTTCAATACTGGCCTGCGTACTGCTTGACAATGTTCGCTTGGCCCTCTCTGCTGCTGTTCGAAGTCTGCGAATTGCTCTGGGGTTGTTTTTCATGTCTTTCTTGTATTTCCTCTTAAATTCGGATGCTAGATGATCTACTAGTCTGTTATCAAAGTCCTCACCACCAAGATGAGTGTCACCTGCTGTTGAGCGTACCTCGAATACGCCTTCATCTATCGTCAGAATCGAAACATCGAAAGTTCCTCCTCCTAAATCGAAGATCAAGATGTTTTTTTCTCCACCCAGCTTTTTGTCGAGGCCATAGGCTAGTGCAGCAGCCGTGGGTTCATTGATAATCCTTAAGACGTTAATTCCAGCAATGACACCTGCATCTTTCGTGGCCTGTCTCTGGGAATCGTTGAAGTATGCCGGTACAGTAATGACTGCATCCGTTAATTTCTTACCAATGTATGCCTCTGCGGTTTCTTTCATTTTTGTCAAGACCATAGAGCTGATTTCTTCTGGGGTAAATGTTTTTTCTTCTCCGGCATAATCTATTTTAATTTTGGGCTTTGCCCCAATGTTTACGACAGTGAACGGCCAATGCTTCATATCTGCTTGAATCGAGGAATCATTGAATCGCCGTCCAATTAGGCGCTTTGCATCGAATACTGTATTTTTCGGGTTCCTGAAAGTATACAAATTATATTTATGTGAATTATATTTGCTTTAATAGAACAATGTTTTGAAAAAGGATTTGCTAGCTGTAGACGTTTTCTTGTGGTCTCAACCTCAGCGGTGGTGGGTCAGCACTTTCACGACAAAATAAGTTAACGTCGTATTATCGTATTATATAGGGCCTATTCCAATTTATCCATAACATAAATTTCTTTTAGTCGTGAAAATATCCTGTGATGCCACAGAATTTGAACCCAATAATTGGCGTAAACCATTTTCTTCAAAATGGATAAAAGAGATGTACTTTACTGTAGCGTCGAACCAGAAACCATTGAGAATTTGTTTTACTCATGTAGTGTTACATAAAAAATATTAAATAATATTATTATATTTATGTTAAATATTTCTGATCTAAAGTGGCTTCATGGATAAAAGAAACAAAATAATTTGAACATATGAAATATGCATAGGGCCTATTTGGTATTCGTAGAGTAAGAATGAAAATATAAACTATAAAATGCCAAGCCCCCTTTCCCCCATGTTAAGTAATGAATTAAATTAAGTCATATTTTGTAACTTTACAATATGTGGAGTCTACAGACAGCACGCTTGACCGATTCCTAATGACGGATAATTGGAATTTTATTGAATAATGGTTTAAAATCTTTTTATTTGGTTCAATCATTTATTTATACCGCGGACCATAATTACGAGTCCCGGCTCGGAAAAATATGAAGGTTTATGGAATTTTGCAATACATTTGACATTGATATTTGATTTAAGTTTTTAAAATTTGTTATGTGTTAATAAATTAGATGTTATGCTTGATGTAGAATACAATTAGATTTACCGTGAATCCCAACAGTGGGTCAGGTATCCAACTAGCCACGGCGACGCCTGACTAAAATTGTTCACAATATTCATTTTTCTATTTGATTTAATTGACAATGTCATTTCTGATACTGAACATTAGTTCGTATATCAATGTTTGTGAAAATTGATCTTGGCCTCGATGTAATTGATAATAGGCGGACCATTGACTGATGATTGTTTTATATGTGCAATGTGTTTTACTGCATGTATTTTAATGTTTTTGGAATTTATGTTTTAATACATTTTTATCGTATTTTAGTGTTTGAATGTATTGTACAGTTTTTTTTTTTAGTAATCTGTATTTCACTGTATTTGAATGTTCTTATTGTAGGCCTAACTCTTTTGAATGCACTGCAATAATCGTGAGTGATACAAAGGGGTGTACATTTAGAGAAAGTGGTGATGAAGCTTGGTGGTAAGATGCTTAGCTTTCCTGAAACCCAGTTGGGTTCAGAACCTATGACACCATAGGATATTTTCTCTTGACTAAAAGTGAAATTTACATGTTACAATGGATAAACTGGAATACCGGTAATAAACCGATACACCAATAGGTAGGCTAAATGGATGAATGAATTGATGGATCAATACGCTGATGGAATAATAGACCGATATATCAATACGCCAATGGATAAAATTGATGGATACATAGGCTAGACAGGAATCAATACACTGATGGAATACTGTAATAAACCAATATTATAGCAATGGATGAATAATTTTATTGATCAATAGACAGTAATCAATACACTGATGGAATAATAGACCGATATACCAACAGGCCAATGGATCTATAAATTGACGGATCAACAAGAATCAACCCGTACGAAATATTTTGTTTGCACTTTTTAAGGGGAAATTATGAAAACAGTGGAAATTGAGGGGGCGCTTGTGGAAATAGATGGAAATTGAAGGGGTTTTTATTGGAGCGGAAAATTCAAGGGGCGCTTTTTTAAGGAAAAAATGTTATAAAAGGAAATCTGGAAACCGAAAGGTAAACAAATGGTTCTGGTCCTTAGGGCAGAAAAGATATCGTCCAGAGAGCATATCGCATGAATGCTGTGAGTAAATACTTGCACAACACCAGATACAATTAGTGGTGGTGGAGATGCGGTAAGCTTGTTGGTCATCAGTGCCGAATGAGATTAGCAGTATCATTGCACGGTTTCTTGTAAACTCAGATAAGAACGTATACTAAAGGTGCAAATTGTCGGGAAAAGAAAAAGAGATGTAAGACTAAACAAATGTAAGAAGGGGAAAGTTGGAAAGATCATGAAAAATACTGTCCATGGAGCTCTTATCTCTCCAGGAAAGATACCAATATTTTGAAATTGACATTATAAGAAGAAAATGTGAATCCACTCCGCGCTCAAATAATTACAACCCCATCCCAGGATTGTTTGGATTATTGGCTTGCTAAAAAAATCACATGATATTGTTAAGGGGTGCTTATTCGAAAAGGGCGCTGAATCAAACGGGGCGCTTATTCGCGCGAGTATGATACGCTTATGGAATAATAGACCGATATACCAACAGGCTAATCGAATGATGGATAAATAGACAGGAATCAATACCTGGTGGAATAATAGACCAATAGGCCAATGGATCAATATATTGTTGATCAAAATATAGATAGATCAACAAGAAGCAATACGCTGATGGAATAATAGAATAATTATAGGCCAATGCATGAACAGACTGATGGATCAATTAATAGACAGGAACGAATCAATACGCTGATCGAATAATAGACGGATATACCGATAGGCAAAAGAATCAATAAATTAATAGATCAATAGACAGGAATCAATACGCTGATCGAATAATAGACGGATATACCGATAGGCAAATGGATCAATAAATTAATAGATCAACAGACAGGAATCAATACGCTGATCGAATAATAGACGGATATACCGATAGGCAAAAGGATCAATAAATTAATAGATCAATAGACAGGAATCAATACGCTGATCGAATAATAGACGGATATACCGATAGGCAAAAGAATCAATAAATTAATAGATCAATAGACAGGAATCAATACGCTGATCGAATAATAGACGGATATACCGATAGGCAAATGGATCAATAAATTAATAGATCAATAGACAGGAATCAATACGCTGATCGAATAATAGACCGATAAGACCAATAGGCCAATCGATCAATAGACAGGTATCGATAGGCGTAGGGAACATAGACTGATACATCAATAGACAGATTCATTGGCTTGCAGACTAGGAGTGCGTGCCCCAATAGACTAATCATTAAGACTCATGAATAAATACCGGTATATACGGGACCGTACTAATAGGATAATGACTTAATTAACTGATACTAATGATGGATAAACAGACTTATTGATTATTGCAGTAATCGATTAACTGACGCTTAATGTGTATGTGAAGCAGTGTAATATATACACATTTGATAAGCAACGGCTAAAGAGTAAACGTAAGTAAACAGCCAGAAATATACAGATCCAGAATTTTGGACAACACAATCCCCAGGCACATTCTCTCATACAAATGCCTGGAACGATCTAACAAGCAGGCGAACATAATTTTGTATGGACGTCTCACGTTGAATCTCACCTTACTGTCAAATCACATAACCTACATAAGTGGAGCTAAAATTAAGGTAGGAAAGCTTATAGGTCGCAGCTTATATATCATAGTAAATAACATCCAAATTATTTACTATATGATATGTAAGACCCGATTGTCTGTCATAAAATCAAAAACCTTCAAACACTCAATTAATGTAAAATTAGGTTTTCTCTGATTAAAAAGAAAAAAGACATGTTGTTATCAGGTGGCCAAATGCAAAAATTATGTTAATTGACGAGATTCCTTTAAACATTTTTAATTAATACTTGGATCCAACAAGCTTGCGAACATAACTTTGTATGGACGTTTTACATTGAATCTCATCTTACCGTCAAATCACATAACCTACATATTTATATGCTGGTTGGAATTTAAGCTGAATACTTCAGACCATCTAGGTAGGCCTATGTTCAGATGATATTAAGCCAAATTATAAAGACTCAAATCGCATTTCATTATATTTTGTTTGACGAGGTTTGAATAAAAATGAATCATGGACAACCATTAAAAAAAAAAAAATAAATAAATAATAAAACATTTTATCATGTGCTAAACGTGGCATAATGCTGTTATTGATATGAATGTGGTCTAGAACCAGGATTCCTAAATGGGGTTTACAAGAGCGGGATGTCTTAGCGCCTAACCGACCTAATGGCACTGTATCTGCAGGAGAGGTAGGTCTACTCGTGTGGGTGTCAGAAGGGAAAGCCATGGAGTAATGAAGCATTCTGACGGTTAATACAAAGGGAGGAGGCGATTTATCACAGGGGTTCAATGGAAAAGGGGAGGGGTTTCAACCGAAACATAGAAACCCCTCCCTGGTTACGGAAGCGCTACTTAAATGACTTGTGTCTCCTTTTAATCAAAGACCCTCCAATTAACGACCACCTCCAAATTAAGACCACTTTCTGTGGTCCCACATCAAAAAGGGTGTCGATCCGTGGTCCCAAATCAACAAGGGTGTCGATCTGTGGTTGAACGAAATGCAAAATAAGCAAGCCTTGGTTGGGGGCCAGAGGGCTGCCTAGGGCCTTGGTGAGGGTCCAGGGGCGAGGCCCCCGGAAGCTCTGGCGCCTATAGCCTTTTATAAGTTGTTTCTAATTGATTTTAAGGAAAATGTAATTAACTTCTATTTTCATACTACATTTTACAGTGGCAGATCCAGGAATTTAAAATAGAGCTAGGCCCGGAGAGGGACGTTTACAGATGGAGCCTCACCATGGTTGGGGCCGAGGTAGAGAAAATTATGATTATGGCACCCTAGTTGGCCGCCGGCGGAAATGGTACTCTCAGACCAGGGCACTGTTCCCTGCTCTGACTAAATTTGAATAATTTTAATTTTTCTCCACTGAGCCCTTGAATCTGCCACTGAAATACTCATCATAAACATTTTTTTAAATTATTCTGGTAATCATAATTTTGCCCGCTCACATAATTTCGTGCAAACTAACATTGATGAAAAATAATGATTTATTATCTACTGATTAGCATGTACAGTACTTTTAAAATCGATCAAGGGGTTTTTCTTTTTCTCCTCTTTTTGAATTTAATTTTGTGCAAGTAGTATAGCTACTACACTAGGATCCTTGTCCAATAATAATTATGCCGGCTTATATAATATTTCGTGCAAACTAACATTCATAAAAATAATGATTTATTATCTACTGATAAGCATGTAGAGTACTTTTAAAATCAATCAAGAGGTTTTTCCTTTTCTCCTCATTTAGAATTTCACTTAATTCGCATTTTGATTTCACAAACATAAAGGTGTTTAAACATATCATTTACTTAATTTATCATTATCAGTGGTGGCTCCAGGAAAGCAAATTA